AGCAAAACAACAGAAACAACAATAAATAAAAAGATTTATTCAAAATGGGCCTCCATCTGCTTCTACACATGCCTTCAATCGCTTCGGGAAGTCATCCACAACCTTCTTCAACGTTTCACCACTGATTTAATCCCAGGCCTTGATCAATGCGCGCTTCAACGATTCGACAGTCGGGTGGGGCTTCGCGCATGCTTTTTCTTCCAAAATGCTCCAAATTGAGTAATCCAACGGGTTCAAGTCCGGAGAACTTGGTGGCCATTCGCCGATGGGACTCCGCCAATGAGGGTTGACTTTGATGAAATCGGGGCAGTTGTCGCGGATGACCACGTATGCCTTGTGCCCGGGCGCGCCGTCTTGCTGGAAGCACCACCAACCGTCGCCGAAATGCTGCTGTGCCCACGGGAAACAATGCTCTTCAAGCATGTCCATGTACACGCGTCCGTTGATCTTCACCCCTGGGTCAACAAACACCAATGGAGTCTTTCCCGTGGCGCAGACTCCAGCCCACACCATGACCGATGCTGCTTTCTGAACCCGCTCAACAGCCCTCTGATCCTTGTCCGGTGGGCCTTTCGAATAAATCCTGTCGTTCTGGGAGTACGCCGTACAAGTTTTTCTCTTCTCTTTCGTGGTTGCCGTCAACTTCTGGCGTTTCTGATACTTGTACGGCGTCAGGCCAAGATCTTGGCGAAGAATTTGCCATGCTTGCATCTTGCTGACTCCGAGCTTCTTGGCAAGTTTTCTAGATGAGTTTGCTTTGGTCGTGGGGTTTCGCTGGATCATTCCCTTCGCGCGCTGAATATTCCTCTTGCTTCTCGCAGTCTTCTTACGGCCCCTACCCGGTCGGTCTTCGTTGATCCCTGTTTCTTCATATCGCTTAATATCGCGGTTTACGGTTGTGAGTGGTATACCAAGAAATCGCTATTTCTCGCTGACCTCGTCCCAATTCATGCGCCTGAATAACTGCATCTCTCAAATTTCGTTTCATATTTATACTAAAAAATAAAAATATAGTCAAATTTGTTGAGAAAAAGCGTTTAAAACAAGATAGATGTAGGTGTCCCGTTTATTTAGTGGCAGGGTATAGTTTTCCATGACTATCGGCCAAAATAAAGAAGGAAGGTTTCTGTTGTTCTGGTCCTTCATATCAATATTCTTTTCATCAGTATTTTTATCATTGTCATTGCTATTACTATTAGATAATGATGGTGATGAACATAGTAAGTTCAATGATTGCAAACCTAAAACAGAAGAGAGCAACATTTTCTTTGATAAATAAAACAAAATATGTGTCAGTCAGAAAACATTCCGAATAGCATAATCTTCCATCCGTTGAGTGGCATAAATATCTCTTTATGTTCTCCATGTTTTTAATTCTGGATCTAAACCACAACGCCAGTTATTTAATCATAATTTTTTACTTGACGCCAGACTCGGAAACTATAAGTCCGATTTTGACCAAACTTTTAGGAGATGCTGACCTTGCGAAAGTATGGTGACGAAATTTTTTGTTTGGTTTCATCGTGCATGGTTTGTAAGATGTCGCCACAAGAGTGACCAAAATGGGACTGTTCGTAGCTCTCAGATTTTTCAGTAACGAAACGTTGTGGAGACCTTGGACTGGTCTTTAATTGATGAAAACACATGTAGCTAGAGGTTGACAGAGTCGGGCTGTTGATATTTTGCTTTTCAAATTAATAGTCACCATCAAAAATCCAAAATTCGAAAAAGTCTCATTAAGTTTGGTAAAGATGTTTTCTAATCACAAATCCAGACTAAATATCAAAAATCAGGCTGATTTAGCCTCTAGCCACAAGTGTCAGCTTCAATTTAGCTCCTCCCCGAGCTCTCTGTGATGTTTCGTTACCGGGAAATCTCGGAACCACGAAATGATGTTAAGGTAAAAGTCACTTTCGAGGTATGGTGGCGCCAGTATCTGATGCGTGTTTTAGGGCTTCCAGCAATACTCTCATAACTTCAGTAAATAACATTCATGATAATTCGTCATTTTTAGCAAATAGAACATATAAGGCAGTGAAAGTCTTTGATTTTAGGCAGATCACGACGAATATTGAATATCAGAAAAAGATCATTGTGAAGCAAAAGCAACATCAACAGTCTGCTTCATCGCTCTCAGATGAAGATGACAATTAAAATCATGCAAAAATATAATGATACAGACTATGTCAGAAAAGAGTGCGTGAAACGTGGTATAGTAACGACGAGATTGGTCCCATTTGATAAAAATATTGTCATTTCCGTTAGTAACTGGTATTTCTTTCTTCGTTTTGTTGTCAAAAAAGAAAAGGATAGCATTGAAGTGATGAAATGACATACATTTTTTAATATTACAATGGTTATAATTAAAGTCGATGGCTACAAAATACATATCATTTGATTTTCCACTGAACTTTACTCATGTGTGAAACGAGCGGGGGCGATTATTTGATGGAATCGGCCCCTGAATGAATTCCATCGACACATACATGATTTGATGCAGAATGAAAGGAGAACATTTCTAGGCACTCGGCAGACCTAAGAATTGCTCTCAGAAAATAGTGAATCGAATTAACTGTAATTAAAGTTCTGCTCCTTCTGATATGTATAATCGATCATATTTTTGAGTATGTCTCTCTTGGCTCATGCCTCACTAGAACTATTATACGTCATTCGAAAGCTCTTTTTCGGCGCTATATTTCTGTATATCACATCTATCGAAGTCAGAAGTGTATAAGCTTTTACGGTTACTTCTACATGTACTGTAAAATATTAAAGAATGTTTTATATACTCATTCATTTGTAATAATTAAAGTGACTATACAAAAATGATCAGCGAATACATTAGAAAATTTGGTGCTTGCTCCGTGCTGAACCAAATTGGATAAAAATTGGGCTCCAAATGCAAAATTTGTCGGTGAATCCGACAGCGGGTTCCTTATAATTACGCCTTCACTTCTTTTTCGGCGTCGACATAATCAACGTGGTTTTTGCCTAAATTTTATTTTTCTCATTGGCGCCTTAAGAAGTGAAGGCGTAATTATAAGGAACCCGCTGTC